TGATGGTTTATGTCGCTATGTTAACTATTATAATCGTTTTGAACCACTGCAAATCATGCCCTTATAAATGGTAAACAATACATACGGTGTGTGTTCTGACTGTTCCACTGACTGGCAGTTTTCCTATCTGTCTTTCTCTCTTTGGTCTTCCCTATTTCCTGAGACACAAAAATATTGAAATTTGGCTAATTAATAGACATATAATAGCCTCTAAATGTTCAAGTGAAAGGAAGCGTTGCGTGTCTCTCACTTGAAATCAAAAGCTACAAATGATTGAGCTTAGTGAGGAAAGGCATGTTGAAAACCAAGATAAACTAAAAGCTAGGCCTCTTGTGCCAGTTGGCCAGGTCACCAATGCAAAGTAAATGCTCTTGAAGAAAATTAGAAGTTCTTCTCCAGTGAACACATGAGTGATAAGAAAGCAAGACATCCTCGCTGCTGATATAGACAAAGTTTTAATGGTCTGGATAGAAGTTCAGACTAGCCCTAACGTTTCCTTAAACCAAAGCCTAATCCAGAGGGAGGCCCTAACTCTCTTGAATTCTGCCAAGGCTGACAGAGGTAAGGAAGCTGAGAAGAAGAGTTGGAAGACGAGCCAGCAGAGGTTGTTGCTTCGTGGGGTTTTAGGGAAAGAAGCCATCTCCATAACATGAAAGTGCAAGAAGAAGCACCAAGTGCTTACACAGAGGCTGCAGGAAGTTTTCCAGAAGATCTAGCTCAGAAAATTAGTGAAAGTGGCTTCACTTACCAATGTATTTTCAATGTACACAACAGAGCCTTAGATTGGAAGAGGATGACGAGGTCTGGCATGGCTGCGGAGGAGAAGTCAATGCCTGGCTTCAAAGCTTCAAAGGAGAAGCTGACTCTCTTGATAGGCACTAAGGTAGCTGGTGACTTTAGGTTGAAGCCAACGCTTATTTACCATTCTGAATATTTTAGGACTGTTAAGAATTATACGAAATCTACTCTACCTGTGCTCTGTAAGTGGAACAACAAAATCTGGATGACACCACATCTGTTTGTAGCATGGTTTGCTGAACATTTGAAGCCTACTGTTGAGTCCTACTACTCGGAAATAAAGATTCCTTTCAAAATATTACTGCTCATTGACAATGCACCTGGTCACCCAAGGGCCCTGATGGAAAAATCCAAGGATATGAATGTTGTTTTCATGTGTGCTAATACAACATCCATTCTGCAGCCCATGGTCCAAGGAAAAATTGGACTTTCAAGCCTTATTATTTAAGAAATATATTTCATAAGGTTATGGCTGCCATGAGATTCCTCTGATGGATCTAGGCACAGTAAATTGAAAACCTTCTGGAAAGGATTTTAGAAACTCTTATGAAATGCTCTGGCTAGGCTCTGGGGATAGCATAGTGAAAAATGGAGCCAAAGACATGGCCATCCTGAAGCTAATAGTGTAGTAGGGAACATCATTGTTAGATAAGTAATCATGTGGCCGATTAATTCATCATAATAATGTTAAATGCAATGAAGGGACAAGGTAGGGTTTAGGAGACCAAATAGCAGAAGGGCCTGGTCTTCCTAGAGGAAGCTGCATTTCATCCGAGACCTGAGAGACAGCCGAGTTAGCTGGTGACTGGAGTGAGAGGAGGAGATGCAGACAGAGGAAGCGCCGTGTTCCAAGGCCATGAGCCCGCCAGTGTGGCAAAGGATTTGGAGGAGGGCCTGGGAGGGTGTGAGGAGCTTGGCTGGACAGCTTCAACTACGTGGATGTTCACCACAGAACTATTCACAAGAGTGACGACCTAAAAGGATGAAACAAAACCAGATTCCTAAATGTCTAAACATAAAGAATTGATTAAATAGATTATGGTGCATCCATTCCAAAGAATGAAGAAATCCTACACAACCTCCTATGTCACAGAAGACTATTTTATGATAAAGAAAGAAATGCATTATACTATATATTGTTTCATGAACAAAAGTTACAAAACTGTATACACCGTGTAATCCTGTTTTTATTTAAGAAGAATAGTATGCACAGGCACAGAAACATCTGGGAGCAGATAAGCCAACATGTTAACTGTGGTTACTTCTGGGTGGTGAGGTGACACTTATGTCTTGCTTACCGACACTTTTACAATGACCTTACACGCACCGCCTATGGCACTTTTGTAACAAGAATCTTTTTCTAAAAGGTGTACTATGTTGGCAGTTTGATGTAGGGTTGGAGCTCAGGGACCCTTGGGTTGGGCAGATGGGTTTGGCTCTACCCATCTCGACCCTGAGACTCTGTTTTTGTCTATCTGCAAATGCATGGTGGTTTCTGTGAATGAAATAATCCCGAGAAAGTCTGTGCTTAGCGCAGAGTCTGGCTCATCAGTAATAGCACCACAGTGTTAACTGGTAATATTGAAAATAAATATAACCGGTGTTTACAGATGTTTACCCTAGAAGTGATTCTTCTGGCTACTCAGTTTTGTAGTTAGGACCGTGTCAGAAGAAGAGGGCTACACTCTGCAATTGTGGTTACTCACATTGAGTCTGCATGGACAGCAAGGAGGGGTGAGGAAGACTGCCCAGAAGCAGGCTGGGGCAGAGCAGAAGGCTTCCTAGGGCAAGCCATGAGACCGACAGATTCCCTCTACAGCCCACACCTTATTCCCCTCCCTCCCCTCTCTCACCTTCCCACCCTTTTTTCTCACCTTCTTCCCACCACTTCCTTGCCATTTTTTACTCCAAACTATAAATTCCTTTGAGGCCAGAAGTTATGCATCAGTCAGTTTCCCCACATGAAGCATCTGTACTGGGCCTGGTGGACAGCTGCCCTCTTGACTGTTAAAAGCAAGGGGACCTGTTGGAGACTTCCCCCATGGGGTGGGACAGTAGAGAAGGGTAGTAGTGGTGAGAACGGAAGGGAAATGCAGATGTAAGAGGTAGTTAAAGGGAAAATGAAAAGGTCTTGGTGAAGGACGAAGAGAGCACAAACTTTGCATCAAACTCGCAATTCCAGCTCTGGTTTTTTAAAGCTACTTTTAGCTTTGTTCTCAGGCACATTCTTTAACTTCTCTAAGCCTCTGTTTCCTCATTTGCAAAGGCAGACAATGTCATCTACCTCCTTGCTTGTTGTATTAAATGGGTAAGGTGTGAAAATTCTCAGCGTGGGGCCTGGCATTCTATTTAGATCCATTTCCTTTTCCTCCCTCTGGGCTTTGAGAGCGTGGTTGCCAGAAGAATGGTGGAGCCCTTCAGAGATGTAGGGAAGTAGCAAGCCAGCTTATTTCATGGGCAAAGAAGACTTTCACTTGGGGCAAGTTGACTTTGAGGTGCTGTTAAGTCCATCTGGCAACTTAAATGAGGGATAGGCACTAGTTTCTAAGCCACCTCCATAACTTATACCCATTGTTATGGGAGGATTAGGAGGAGATGATAGCTTGGAAGGTGTGATGGTTAATACTGAGTGTCAACTTGATTGCACTGAAGGATGCAAACTATTGATCCTGGGCATGTTTGTGAGGGAGTTGCCAAAGGAGATTAACATTTGAGTCAGTGGCTGGGAAAGGCAGACCCACTGTTAATCTGGGCGGGCACAGTCTAATCAACTGCCGGCGTGGCTAGAATATAAGCAGGCAGAAAAATATGAAAAGGGAGACTGGCCCAGCCTCCCAGCCTGCACCTTTCTCCCATGCTAGATGCTTCCTGCCCTCGAACATCAGACTCAGTTTTGGAACTCAGACTGGCTCTTCTTGCTCCTCAGCCTGCAGACAGCCTATTGTGGGACCTTGTAAGTTAATACTTAATAAACTCCTCTTTATATATAAATTTCCTTCCTCTTCTCTCCTGTATTAATCAGGGTTCTCTAGAGGGACAGAACCAATAGGTTATTTCCTATTAATTATAACTAATATATCCTATTAGAACTAATAGAAACTAATAGGATACATCCTATTAGTTATAACTAATATATTATATTAGTTCTATCCCTCTAGAGAACCCTGACTAATACTGAGGGGGAGAAGAAGAAGGCAAAGAACAAAAATGAGTTCAAGGTTTGGAGGAGCCATTTCAAAGTTGGATATGGGATGATTAATGGATAAGGTTGGGTTGACAAATTCACCAGAGTTAAGGAGGCCAAGAAACTAAACTTACACTGATTTTTGTCACAAAGAAAAAAGTCTAGAGACCCTTGTGCATCCTTCATCTTCCAGAGACAATAAAATCTCTGTTCTCTCCTGGTTCCTGTGCTTTCATGCCTCTGAACATACCTGGCGCATCCTTCTCTCTGCATGTTACCATCGTCCTCCAGAAAACTCCATCAGGACTATCCTTCAGAGTCCAGGCCAGCTCTCACCGCTGTGAATACTTTCTATCCCCTCCAGCCCACAATGATCTAATGCTCCTGCCCCTAAACTCCTGTTTCTTGACTACCACCTTTTTTTTTTTTTTTCTTAAGCATTTATTCTTCATGTCTAGGATGGGGAGTGTATTTCATCACACTGGTCAACTCTCAGTGTCTGCCCTGCTTTGAAGACATTTTCCAGACTCCCTGGGGAAAAGCCATGAGCAATAGACATGCCATCAAGGGCACCGGCATGGGGAGGGTGGCACTTGGGCTCTCTGCTGAGCATAATATATAGCAGGTTTGATTTGAGTTCCTCCAAAGGAGATGCTGAGACAAAGGCTTGGGTGCATGCAGTTTATTTGGGAAGGGGTTTCTAGAACCAAAATGACAAGTAGGGATGGGGAGACAGGAAAGGGAGAAAAGTCAATAAAGTGTATGAAAATGTGGGTTACCACTGTAGCACAGCCCCTTGGAAGGCGCTGGGGAGCTGTGTGCAATGCACCTCAGGGTCCTCTGCTGAAGCACCAGCGGGTTGGCTATTCACCCTCCCACCATCCTTCCCAAGGGCTGGGGTGGCCCCCACAGTGCCTGAGACAGCCTCGGGCAGGGAACAGGAGTGGTGCAGACACCTGAGGAGGAAGTTGCCAGTGTGCCGTAGAGGCGCCCTGGGAAGTAAACTCAGGTGGATACAGGGCAGGGCATCCACAATCCACCACCATGGCATATCACGCTGTCTTTTTCACCTCTTTTCTTCTTATTTCTGTTAGCTGCTTGAAGGCAATCCCCAAGGAAAGCATGTGGCACAGTGTCTTACACCTAACAGGTGTTCAGTCAATGAATGGATGATGGTCCATCTGCCTATGAAGACAGAGAAAAGGGAGAAAAATTAGATTGAATAAGTGGAGTTCCTGGTTTAAAGGCCAAGATTGGGCTGGCTGGGCTGGCTGCTGTGAAACAGCTATTTGGCCAAAGCAGTACACTTCTAATCTAGATTATCTTCATCACACAGATATTACCTAGAAGTTCGGAGAAAGAGGCAGCATGTTCTTAGGGGAAAAAAACATCTGTGTTCTAAGAAAAAGTGGGAGAAGATTTAATGAAGGCTCTTAAATGTGGGACTGCAGCCTCCCGTGAATGAGCACCATGAATTCCCCTGGGGGTCCTTGGAAAGGCCCGCCTTAAGTCAGGGCACTTCCTTGAGAAATTCTTCCTTAAGAGGGAGAATTTGGCCAAGACTTTTTATGTCCATCCCAGAATGAGTGAACCAAGGTCCCCTGGCATGTGGCCCAATGACTGGCTCATACTTTAAGCTTGGTAGGTGTTTGGTGGCTGTAACCTTGGAACATCCCAACTCTGAATTGGAGGTATTTTGTCTCCTTTTCCTGGGCCCTTAGGCACTGCCTTTTCACTTAACAGGCACTAAGAAAGTGCCTCTCAAAGCTACTTACGATTATAATCTGGGTTCAAACTCCTAACTGAGTAATCTTGGGCCAGTTAAAAGTCTTAGTTTGGGCTCCTCCAGAAAAGTTCAAAAACAAGTAGGTTATTTGGGAGGGACAAGAAACACTAGTGTGGTGGTAGGAAGATGACAGGAACAGGAAGGCAGGCCAAGGAGTTACATTGTCAGGCAAGCCGCCGCTGTGGGCCACTGGAACTTACCCTGCTGGGGACTGTGGAGGCCAGCACAGAGTACATGCCTCAGAATCCCATCCCATCCTGCCACCACAGGCAAGGGAGCCAGGACTTTTGTATACCAACTCCTGACAATTATTTGTTGATAGCTGCTCTTAGAGGAAATCTATGTCCCAACACATCTGGCCTGCTGCGTGTAAGAACACACCAGGCTCTAGAGGCCAGGGGAAGCTCTCGGGCCAAGATCCTGCATTTGGAAGATGAGCTGGTAGGTACTGAAATGATGAGGGCCAAAAAGGTGTGGGTGAGGCACACACAGCATCTGCCATCTATAAGAGGACGTCTAGGACCCTATTCCATTAAATGAGTTCATAGTTGTAGCACACTTGGAGCACTCTATGGTATATAAATGCTATAAGTGTGTGTGGCAGATTGTATTTCTCTTACGGCGACACAGTAATTTTCTGGTCCCATGTGCTCTGCTAGAAACTTGCCACTCCCTATTCTGGGTTGAGTCTGTTTCCTCTCCCCTTGGACCCAGAGGGACTTTGTGACTTCCTGATGCACAGTTTATTGCAAAATTGAAGCTGCTGGTTTCTAAGGCTAGGTCATGGAAGGTGATGGAAGGACACGCCTGTTTCTCTCTCTCTCTCTCTCTCTCTCTCTCTCTCTCTCTCTCTCTCTCTGTGTGTGTGTGTGTGTGTGTGTGTGTGTATGTAAAGAGAGATAGAGATAGATAAAACACACACACACACACACACACACACACACACCCTTGGGATCCCTATCCTGAAGCCACCATGTTGCAGAGACAACATAGGAATACAGAAATCCAAGAAGTCTCAGCTGTTCAAGTCCCGAGTGAAGCACCTCCTTGGGTATAAATGTGTATGCATTTAGTGATGACCCCTTTGATATGACCGTAGCCACAGCCAACTAATTACTGCCACCACCAGAGAGAACCTGAGCTACATCTGCCCAATTACTCTCAACCTGAATTCCTGATCCACAGAAACCATGAGAGGTAATAAATAATTATTGTTATTTTAAGATGCTACATTTTGAGATAACTTCTTATGTAGCCATAGTAACTGGAACAGTGCTTGATAAATGAAATAAATATAATCTCATCTCCTCAACTTATAGGCCCTCCTCAGATATGAAATGAAATCTTCATATTCTAGATTCCGCATTTAAGCAGGTGGGTCTAGCTCAAGCTAATGTTCTGATAATCAGATCTGCACATGATTGAACTTTGCAGTATGCAGAGGGTTTAGTTCTGAATGGGACATTGTGGTGCTTCCTCAATGTCCATTTTGATCATCTTCCATTCAGGGCTTCTCTGGATATCTGGTCACTCATCCCTACCTCCAGCAGGAGGCCCTGAATGCTCCAAGCCATTAGGGAAATTCAGGCATCTTGCCATAGCGATTGGACCACACAACTGAAGCATAGCCAATCAGCCCTTGGCTTTTCCCTGGGATTGGTTAGGAATGGAATACTCACCACCACACCTGGGACTATTGCTGAAGAATCTGGGGCACAGAAGCACTCTTTCTCCAGGAAGTATTGGATTCAGACATGCATGCTGGAACCACTGCAATGATTTTGCTACTGTAAGGGAAATCAGCCTGAGGATGAAATCAACACACAAAAGACGCAACATGAAGAGAATAACAGAGATATGAATCTACAGCCTTGATAGAGTCATGCTTAAAGCCCAGACTACCATGCTTAAGGTCTTGACTCCCATTCCATTTGATGTCTTCCATCACCCCTGAATGGAAGATGATCAAATGGAATAGGAGCCAAGATGTTGCTTTCATTGTTTAAACCATCTTAATATGGATATACTATTACTTGGAACTAAATGCATCATAATTAATTCTGGTACCAATATATCGGATACTGTCATGAGAACTAATCCACTCCTCTTGTGCAGAGTTAGAAAAGAGGATCAAAGGATAAACCTTTTCTAGCATTTTTTTGGACATTTTTATATGAAACCTTGTTTTCCTGGCTATATCTTGGATATAAATGTGCATACATTTAGTGGGTATATTTATTTCCTAGGGGCTGCTGTTAACAAAGCACCACAAATTGGTGACTCAGAACAACAGAAGTTTATTGTCTCACTATTTTGGAGACCAGAAGTCCAGTGTCCCCAGGACTGTGCTCCCTATAAAAACTCCAGGGAAGGATGTGTTCCAGGACTCCCTGAGCTCCCGGTAGCCTCAGGCATTCCTTGGCTGGTTGATGAGCGTTACGTGTGTCTCTATGCATGTCTTCCCTCTGTGTCTCCAGCTCTGTGTCCAAATTTCCTCCTTTCACAGTACACGATTCATATTGGATTAGGGCCTATTCTAACACCCTCAGTTGAACTTGATTACCTTTGTAACATCCCTATTTCCAAAGATGGCCACACTCTGAGGTACTGGGGATTAGAATTTCAGTAATATTTTTTGCTGGAGGAGAGGGGATGCAATTCAGCCCATTAGAGTGGTGCAGAGAAAGTGGGCCAGGAGGGTGTACACAGGAGGACAAGACATCAAATACAGGAAAGTTAAAAAAAAAAAAAACCCTTACCAACTGCACAATTTTGGAGTTGTCCAAGTATAAGAAGGCTGATATTCCCACTTTGATTTGTAGAGACTGGGGTTCCTGACTGAAGACACTTTCTCTGCAGAGATACGGAGATAGAGACAAACACAGGGCCTGAGTTGCTTCTCTTTTTCTAGCCTAGATGTTGTCCTTGCAACAATCTCTGTTTTGTTGGGTGTTTTTTGTTTGAGGGAATACACACAAAGCTTTGACTTACATTATTCTCATTGCATCCAACTGAATGAAATTTATGAAGCCTCTGGCACAATGTATTCATTGTTTGGGTTGGGATAATTGAAGTGTCAGGAATATTTGCTTATTGAAAACAACTCAGAATGACCCTGTGCACCCATCTGGTCCAGGGCCACAAGACATGCCACATTCTGGACAGCTGTGTCCTATTGTCTTTTACAGCAGGGGCACCTTCCCAGATAAATCAATTTCACACCTGTGGAAGAGCAGCGGGTTAAGAATCAGAAGACATTATTTCTGATGTGGACTTCACAAATCACTCCCTGTGTGACTTTGAATAAATCATTTAATGTCTCTGGACTTCAGAATTCAATGGACATAAATAACATGGTCTGTTCTACCTCGTAGGGATACTGTGTAGCTCAAAAATGAGAATCTATACGAAATACTTTAGAAATCATAAAATGTCCAAATGTGTGTCATTAACAATAAAAATTAATCATGTCTACTTCCGCTCAAAGTAGAACTGTGAACTAAGGAAGAAAATGGACCAATGTTCTCATTATTCTCCATTTTCTCCCCAAGATCCATCCTCCACACTTTTCTGACCTGCTCTGTGCCTCGGGAGACTGAGCACTGAGGATTGCATTGGCTAGACTTCCTTGTCTTGTGGGTTCTGGGTGGTTTAGCTAATTAGAAGTGCTTATAGGAAATGGGAAGATAGGAGGAGAGAAACCTTGCGGTATTGATTCGTCTTGCTCTTCTGGGCAGTTGCTATGTTCTCCTATAGCCACCGCTCTGACGGGGCAGCTGGTTCTACCCCTTTGGCCCTCTCTAGGCTTCAAGTAACTCCATTCCTTCTACTCTCTCTCAGGATGAGGAGGATGACAGTATGTGAATGTGGCCAGTCCTCAGTGCCTGACTCTGCAAACAGACTCGGCATCATTGCTCTTCAACACTTTGAATGCGCCGTCTGATTCTTGAGGGACCCTGGCACAGGCAGCATCATGACCATGATGTGAGCGATAGCTCAACTCTTCCTGAGCGACTAGCTCTCTCTCTCTTTGGTGATGGTCTGAGTTTTCTCTTTTCTTTAGCCATTGAGCAAGTCCGCAATGTGATTTTTCTCTTGTGGAAATGAGCACCAGTGGATCATGAAGAACTATAAGGACTGGAGGTCTTCACTGTCTTCCATCAGCGATTGGGATGCTTTCATTAGGTTTCCCGGGGAGACAGGCCTCTGTTTTTTCTCTGGTACCTCCTGTCCCTCCCTGTATTCAAGCATTTTCCAAGTTCAGTCTGCCCTTCTCTGGAGGTTACTCCTGATCTTTCCTCTGCCCTCATCTCTTGCCTGTGCTTTCAGGGGTCTTCAGTGACTCTCCACGTGGAACTCAGCGTCTTTTCTCTTTCCCACACCCCAGCCCCGGCTTCCCTATTTCTGTTCATGCTGCCCAGGCCTGGAATTCCAGCTCATCTTTCACATCTCTCGTCACTCCTTATGTGCAAGCAGGCGCCATGAGCATTGCTGCCTCCCTTCCCAAGAGTCCCTGCAGTCCCTGCGCTCTTGGTGTCTCATTACAGGACCTCTCTCTGGTTCTGAGTTTCTGTGACAGGGTGTCCAATCAGCCTTCCTGCCTACAGTCTCTCTTCAATTCTGTACAGTCAATAGACTTCTGCTACCTTTGTTTTCCTAAAACTCAGCTTCCATTTTTCCCCTTCTCTCCATGAAAGCCTTCAATAACTCTGCCGTCCACCATACAAAATCTGAACTCCTGACCCTGCCATTCAAAGCCCTGCATCGTCTGTTTCTTGACCTACTTCCTCCCTGACAAGCCCACTCTGCTCTCCTCACTCCCGTGACTATGTCAGGGGCTTCCCAGCCTCCACTGCCCCAGAAATGCGGCCCTCCTCCCTCCTGGTATGAACCTTGCCTATTCTTCCAAACTGAACCCCAATGCCACTTGCTCTCTGAAATCTTCCTTGACCACTACAAGTGACAGTGAGCCTTCTTTTCTTTGAACCTCTCTTCCTTTTCTTTCAAGTTCCAGGACATATTTGCTGAACTGAACTTCAGCTCCTAAGAATGTCATTTACATTAGCCATTTGAGGCTCTTAACTCCCTGACTTGTATAGCTATGCTGTTAGAACACAGTTTGGACACACGTGTTTTGCATAATATTCGGCCCTTACTATTTATTGAATGAATACATTAAAATGGGAAACATATCAGCTTATGCGAACTGCTGGTTGCTGAGAGATTGGACACACATATGTATTTTGCAAGCTCGTAGGTCCCTGGCACTAAAGCCATACAACTACTCAGGTAGGCTTTGGGTCTAAAAAGGAACAGTGATGATGATGATAAAAATTTAAATATCTACAATTTATTGAATGTCTACTGTGTTCAGAGCTTCACATGCAAAATCTCTTTTAACCTTTATAACCAACTTATATTAGTATTTTACTATTTGTACTTTATGAACCAGGAAATGGAAGCTCAGAGTGATTAAGCAAATATATCTAGTGTGGAGCAAGGCTAAATTTGAACCTCACTCTGACAATGCTCATGTCTGTTCTATCAACCAATCAGCGGGCAGCTTTTGGAAGTATCCTGCAGGAGCCCCCAGGAGTGTGGAGTATTTAGTGTGTGATGCCATATGTGCCACCATGTCTACCTTGTCTTCCTTCCAGTGAGAGCAGGAATCCTATCCCACTGCTCTCTGTACCTTCACAGTGATGCCTACGACTTAGCTTTGCATCAGCACTCACTAATAGTTTATTAGTTGATTCTCAGCTCTCCCCCACTTCGTACTTGAATTTCAAGTGTTTTGTTTTGTTTTTTGAGACAGGGTTTTGCGCTGAAGTGCAGTGGTATGATCATGGCTCACTAGAGCCTCGAACTCTCCCAGGCTCAAGCGACCTTCCCACCTGAGCCTTCTGAGCAGCTGGGACTACAAGCATTTGTCACCATGGCCAGCTTGAGTGTTTTTTTTTTTTTTTATTGCCAAAGGACCTGGCCAGGGTTGCACTACAGGTTTGAATAGGAATTCCCTTTCCACCCCACCAACACCATACAATCCGTATGTAACCATGTGTCTCCAGAGGTCTCCCCTTAAAGGGGCTTGGTACTGTGTCAACTTAGCTAAGTTGGAAATATTTCCCAGAACTCTCTTCTCTGTATTATTGTAGACTAGGACTGGCTACAGGAGAAATTTGCGTGAGACTGGGAAGGCAGAAGGGAGGGAAGCAGTAGCCACTGTTTGCAGATGGGTGCAGGCGCCAGGCAGGCCCCACAGCTCATGCTGCCCTAATGTCTCATCCTCTTGGCGTGGAGCAATCCCTGGGCCTGCAGCATCTCCAGCTCCTGCCCAATCTCCTCTCCTTCAGATTCTGGAGTTGCAAACTTACTGTGTGTATAGTTTCATGGAAAAAGTGGCTTCTGCAGATTCCCCACATTGTCAAAATTGGAGGCAATAAGAGACATATGTGGGGTCCACTCTGTCCTCATTGTTCTGAGGCAGGAGAATAGGGTCTGGAGGCAAGGAACTGAAGGCCAAGTCATGCTGACTCCCTAGAACTAAATCAAAAGGAAAACCCCAACCGTTACAAATGCCCAAGTAATAAAAGGACCAGAGGCTACTCCCTTTGCACTGCCCCCCACCGCCACCGCCTTTGTGTGTGGCAGATGAAAAATGGAAAGTCCCTCTGATCAGTCCCCTCCTGCAACCAATCAGACTGGTCATGGGCCAAGTTTTCATTTGCATAGGAGTATAACTTTGTAACTTCACTTCAGCCTCTGATTGGTCACTTTCCACAACAAATCAGATTGGCTGTGGGCCACTACTTTATTTACATAGGGCATACACCAAGTAATTAATGGGAATATTCTAATGGGTATATAAAGCCCAGAAAAGTCTGTAACCAGGCTCTTGAGCTGCTTGCTCAGGCTGGCTCCCACCTTGTGGAGTGTCCTTTCATTTTCAATAAATATCTGCTTTTGTTGCTTCATTCTTTCCTTGCTTTGTGCATTTTGTCCATTTATTTTTGTTCAAGATGCCAAGAACCTGGATACCCTCCACTGGTGATAGTTCTAGTTTTTCTCACGCTTTCAGTAAGTGTTGCTCTCCTCACGTTAGATCCAGCTTTCTTTCCTGATTGCCAGAGCTGCTACAGCAGCTTTAGGCCCCCACCAGGTGCAAAAGCAGCTTGCCATCACCTCCATCACCAGCTCCCACAATTGTGCTCATTTTAATAACAAACCCCTTGTTCTGTATCACTCAGAGTGGCCCTGCTTCTCTGATTAAACCCTAGCTGATTCATCCCTCTTCCCTGAGTCCTCAGGATATGGCATCTCTGGTCACACGGCCACTTCAAAGAAATGTGTCTATGGTAATTGAGCAAAGTCACTATCAAAGCAAGAGGAAAACCTAGAAGTAGTGAGCCTCTCACCCTTACCCTTTCCCTCCCCACAAGGCTGTGCTGTTTTCCAAGGCAGGAGATAGATCTGTCTTGTACTGAAACCCAACTTAAGACATTGCATTATTCAAGTTTCTACCTGCCCCAGCAAACCTGGGCTGAACTCAGTTCTGATGTCACTGCTTTTGGAGGTTGCATAGCCACCCTTGACCTTTAGTGTTGCTCTCAGATACCACTGGCCTCCAGGGCACCTGTGCATGGAGGTATACTTGTAGTTAATCACAGGTGGGCTACAGTACAAGGTTGCCTAAGGGCTGCGTCCCAGAGGCTCTGAAGCAGGCGTCCCCAAACTACAGCCCACAGGCCACATGCGGCCCCCTGAGGCCATTTATCCGGCCCCTTGCCGCACTTTAGGAAGGGGCACCTCTTTCGTTGGTGATCAGTGAGAGGAGAACAGTATGTGGTGGCCCTCCAACGGTCTGAGGGACAGTGAAACTGGCCCCCTGTGTAAAAGGTTTGGGGACGCCTGCTCTGAAGACTGCTGTTCAGTGATATCTGCCTTTGATCAGGTGTTTGAAATCTAAAACACCACCATTAATGGGCCATCCCTGTGGATTACTCTTCCTGGTGTCTGTTATTAAAAAGCCATACACCTTTGATAAAAGAATCATTTGCAGAGTGTAGGAGAAAGAATGTGGTTTCTGGAATCAGGTAGTTCTGAAATCAGTCTACTTCTGCCATTTAAAATAGCTATGAGGGTCGGGTGCCGTGACTCACACCTGTAATCCCAGCACTTCGGGAGGCTGAGGCAGGCAGATCAGAAGGTCAAGAGATCGAGACCATCCTGGCTAACATGGTGAAACCCCATCTCTACTAAAAATACAAAAATTAGCTGGGCATGGTTGCACGCACCTGTGGTCCCAGTTACTCGAGAGGCTGAAGCAGAAGAATCGCTTGAACCCAGGAGGCGGAGGTTGCAGTGAGCCGAGATTGCACCACTGCATTCCAGCCTGACAACAGAGCAAGACTCTGTCTCAAAAACAAAAACAAAAACAAAAAAAAGCAAAAAAGAAAATAGCTACGAGGCTTCAATAAAATAACCTCTTCAAGCTGCAGTTTCCTCACCTATTAAAATGAGGATAGTAATATCCAATTTGATATCCAAGACAACAAATGTGAAAGTATCTAGCCCACTGCTTGGCACATAGGTGACCATGAATGAATGTGAGCACTTCCTCCTGATTTCCTTTCCTTAAACTAAATAACACCTTGGATTTCCTAGCAGGGCCCTAAGTGGGCCTCATTTCTGTTGCTTTGTCATCACAGTTGCGATCTGGTGGGGGACAGGGTGAGGGTCTGCGAGTGCGTATGTGTGTTTCAATAGAGTAGGGAGAGAGAGAGAGAGCACGGATTAGAGTTAACAACTAATTTTAGAAGAGAGATTAGGTCATCAGAAGAGGAGGTAAACTTGTTTCAAAAAACTAGCTTATTTCCATCCACCTTTCTCCATTTCCATTGCCACCATCTTAATTCAAGTTGCCTTCTCCTTCCTGGATTATTTCAGTAGTCTTATCTGGTTCTTTGGACTGTTCTGATCTCTTTTTAGTTTATTATCTTCTTGGAAGCCAGTGATCTCTTTTAAATGTAAATCAGATCTTACTTAACCCTCTGACCCTTTCCATTATTAGCATTTCATCTAAAGCCTAATCATGGCCTGGAAACTGCTCTATAGCTTGGTCGCTGTCTACCTTCCTCCCTCAGCCTTCTCTCCCTTCTTCCCTCCCACTCAGTAGCTTTTATTTACACTAGAATTCTCCCAGCTTCTTGGGGCCAGTGAGCTGAAGACCTTAACTCATTCTTCTGTCTCTCTCTCTCTCTCTCTCTCTCTCTCTCTCTCCCCCTTCCCCCCTCTCTCCCTCTCTTTCTCTTACACACACACACACACACACACACACACTCACACACTTCCTCTTCCATGTGTTTCCATTATACTTAAATCTGCTGGCTGACTGCTACCCAACCTTCATTCACATCTTTGTTCAAATGTGCTTTCTTCAGAGATTTTCCTGACTTCCCAAACAAAAATAGGCTTCCCTCTTGTTTCTTATAAAAGATCTCATGTGTACATCTCATATGTTTTTCTTCTTATAGCCTGTGTTACACTTTGAAGTGATAGAATTGTGTGTGTAGTTTCTTTCTGAAGTGTTGCTTCCTCTTATAGAGTCCACAACAGTCCCATTTTCCCATTGTGTTGCCACCAGCTAGGCCACTGCCTGGGACACATAGTCTCAGTAGTGCTGGTTAATGATGAACAAACATGGTGTCACCCTGGGACAAGTCTATCTGTATGGGATTCAGATTTTCTCTCCTTACAAAGAAGCCACAATTCTTAAGTTGGAGTCTTATAAAAGCCACCCAGAAAACCAAAGATCCTGTTTACCTCTATATTTAGTTTTTTGTTTCCTGCTTTTTTTGTTTTTAAATTGAGGCATAACTTGCACAGAGTAAGCTGTACAAATATTAAGTGTGCAGATGGTGAATTCTTCATACATATACTCCCATGGAATCATTATTCCAATCAAGATCTAGAATAGTCCAGCATTCAGTAGGCCTCTTTGTGTCTTTCCAGTTCCATAACCCTACCCACACCCTAGACAAGGTAACCACTGCTCTGATCTCCTGCTCTGTAGATTAGTTTTGTCTGATTCAAAATCTTATGTCAATAGAATCATACAGTGCATATATATTTTGTTGTCTGGCTTCTTTGGCTCAACATTTTTTAAGATTAATTCAAGCTGCTGTGTGTAGCAATTGTTTTGTTTGTTTTTTTTTAAAATTATTGAATTGCTGAGTTGTCTTTCATTGAATGCATAATTTCCCCATTTGACTATTGCTGGACATTCAGTTGTTTCAAGTTTGGGCAATTATGGACATTTTCGCACATGTCTTTTGGTGGACATGTCTTTGGGTTTAGATGTAAGAGTGGAATTGGTGGGTCTATACATCTTTCAGCCAGGCTGTTTTGTCTTCTGATGCAGCCTTCACAAAATCCTGGCACATCTCATCCAGAATTTTCCAATCTGATAAGGCAGACATGGTTATCTACATTGTGGTAGGCTTTTTGCCTGCAGGAATCCTTCATATGGCTTTTCTTTAAGTTCGTTTCATGTGTTTCTGTCAAGATCATTTAGCTGTTTGATCCTAAGTCTGTGGTCATGATAGTGACACAGAAAATGTCACAGGATCTTTAGGGTGTCACTTCACCAGCTGGAAACCTCTGTGGCCAGTAGCACCTTCGCCCAAATTTTCCTCAGGACCACTGGGCTCATTCCACTCACTTAGCCCAGCAGGCTGCAGTCAGTTGGAGCTACCAGCCAGAGCCCACATCTACCAACACCAAGCCACATGCAGAGTGGCAAGGGATGTATGAGTGAGCACCGGTTCCAGCCACTGTGCACAGCCAGGAGTGCCAGCTGCAGTGGGGAGGGCAGCTCCAGGCACCCACCTCTGTGCGAGGCTGATGGTGTACCAGGCATACTGTAATCAGTATGCTTCCATTGTGTACACCAGGAAATGTGGTGGTGCCCAGACTCTTGTAGACACCAGAAACCACAGAGCCCTAAAGAGGGTGTCACAATACTGGCCTGGGAGCCCCTGGGTCTGAACTCCTTGAAGGGCCACAGCTCTTCTCTCATCATGGAGAGTAGGGGGTTGGGAGGTGTGTTTCAGCCTTGTTTGTGTTACAGCTCTTTCAGTCCCTCCACTTGGCAGGTCCCAAGTTTTTGTCTCATGTCCAGGAAGAATGAAGTGCCTGGACAATTGGAGGGTGAGCAAAGTGGAAAGGAGCTTCATTGAGTGACAAAACAGCTCTCAGGAGACACAAAGTGGGTAACTCCTTTCCACAGGAGGTCATCCTGGCAAGTGGGAGAGGAGCCATGGTGGGTAGCTCCTACATGTAGGCAGGTCATCCTAAAGAGTCAAGGAGACTGAAGTGGGTAGCTCCTTCCCACAGCTGTTAGTCCTGACTTCTGTCTGAGTCTGGCTGAGTCCAGAGTTTTAATGGCTCAGAGGCGGGGAAGCTGATTGGTTCATGGGTGGTCATGGGAGGGCCTGGAAAAAGCACTGTAAGTTCTCACTCTGAGCATCCTGGCAGCCTGGCCTCAGGTTTCAGGCTGTTCTTGGCATCAAGGTGTTCCTGGCTAGGGACCTGCCGCTTTCTGGCCAGGAACCTGCCTACCTCTCACCATCAACATGCCATCCATGGCACCTAGGCTGTTTGTGCTGAGGGACACAGGCCTGTGCTAAGCCACCCTCAGTGCCCCCAGCCTCCTTCTGGCACTGTTGGTGCCCAAAGTCTGGAGGGGGCTGAGGCAGGGGGTGGGATTTGGGTCTGGCATGTCAGTGCCACCCTGAGCACCTGCACCCTCAGCCAGGTTGCAACAGTTTCGGGGCTTGGCCACAACTTTGCTCCAAAATCAGAGCAGGCATCAGGAGTGGGGAGAGCCCGGGGACAGGAGCAGACATTTCAGAGCCTGTAGGGGCAAGGAGGGCTTCCTAGCCCTCAGAGCAGAGGGATGCCTGGGTCCAGAGCTGCTGCTGGTTGCTGCAGGGGTGCCTGAGAACATAGGGCTTCCACCCTGCCAACTCAGTAAGGGGCAAGACTCCCACCTGTTGCTGGCCCCGGGTGGCTCCGTAGAGCATGGAGCCCTGGCTGCGCCTCCCCTGCTGCAGCTGTGTACCCCCAGAGGCTGCTCCAGACGGTCTGCTGCTGCCATCAATAAGCCAGAACAATTTAAAAACATAATTTGAAGGATTCCTGCCATTGGAGCTCCATCAGACACCGTGATAAATCATCTCTAAAGTAGTAATCTGGGCCAGTAATAAAATATGATTCTACTCATTTAAATCACTGAGTTACAGACACATTTCACAGGAATGTATTTCTAATTACAATTATCTTAAGATAATTGCTTTGGCTGTTTCTATGAAATGCTGTAGCTATTCCTGATGTATTATTTATTCATTGGTTTATTGCCAGGGGTAATATTGATTGTTTTCTCTATCCCCGTCATGGGAGGCTTTCTGACATAACTGTGTAGTGATTTTTTTTCCTGTCTACAGGAACACATAGGGTTAATAAGCTGTGGCCATTAGACAACATTCACCACATTCTGTGTGCCCTTTTCCCAAAAGATAAGTTACACCGAAAGAAGAAAGGTATAATCTCTGCAAATTCACTTGCTAAAAATATCCTTCTCTAGAAAGGATATTTGCTTGTTGTTTTCATGTTTCTCCTTCCAAAGAATTTACAAACATTTCCCTTAATTCCCTGCACGAGACTAGAAAATTTCAGCTTTTGCCCCATGCAAGGGAAAAATTGCAGGTAGAACATCTTTCCCTTTTGAGGCAATGGACCACTTCTCCCCTAGACCATAGAGGGCCTGCCTCTCTGCTCTTAAGAATTCAAGAGGCTTACCAGCCTGGGAGGCTGGGACCACCCAGATGGAGATGAAGTGAGCTTTCAGCAGAGAGAGGGAAGCACCTGGGAAATACCTGGATTCTGCCTTGAGTGGAAATACAGAGACAACCACATATTTTGGACACCCACCTCTCAGTGTCCTGGAGTCCTAAGACGTCCTGCTCATTGTGAGGAAAAGTGCCCCCACAAAAGGGGACGTACCACCCAAATTTGGCTAAATCCTGAAACAGAATTAAATGACCACATTGAATTCTCATGATAAGTCTTTGAGGAAGATGTCATCATTCCCCATTTAAAAATTTTATTTTTTTACTTTACTTTTATTTTATTGTATTTTTGAGACAGAGTTCTGCTTTGTTTCCCAGGTTGGAGTGCAGTGGCGTGATCTTGACTCACTGCAACCTCTGGCACCATGTTCAAGTGATTCTCCTGCCTCGGCCTCCTGAATAGCTGAGGCTACAGGCATGCACCACCACACTCTGCTATTTTTTGTATTTTTAGTAGAGACAGGGATTTCACCATGTTGGCCAGGCTGATCTTGAACTCCTGACCTCAAGTGATCTGCCCACCTTGGCCTCCCAAAGTGCTGGGATTACAGGTGTGAGCCATAGCACCTGGCCCCAATTCAGACATTTAAACTGAGGCTCAGAGAGGCTGAGTGTCCTTACTAAGGCCACACATCTTCTAAGTGATAGAGCAGGGATTTGAATCCAGGCAGCTCAACTCCAACCTGAGGGTCTAAGAAAGAGTAGGCTACAATTCAGGATGTCATCTTCCCATCCTCCACTCCACCTTTTTAAGCCTCATCTGAAAATAACATGCAAGATCACCTTTACCACACAGAGGAGATGAAGAAACAAATAAATATAGGGGAGGAGGAAATGGAAAATAGAACTCCCACTGGGGTCTGGCTATTAATGTGTCTGCCCCGTTCCGACACTTGAATAGGTCTGGTTCTGAGTCTGCTACTGAAAGGAACCAAAAATGACCTTGAATTGAAACTCCTGCATAGGAAGGTGCCGTGATGAGCTCAGAGAGACCACAGCACAACTCTGCAAGGGCGTTCAGCACATCGTCACGGTTGCTTCCAGTCGGCCAGGGGGATGCTGATGAGGTGCTTTCCAGATCTAATGAAACTACCTGACTGCCAACACCAAAGTTGGGTTTTCCTCTCTCTGTAGGATGGAGAGGCTGGAAGATGAGATGGTCTTTCCAAGGGGGAGCCTGTTTCATCAACAGCTTCTTTAGATGTGTTGACTTTGTGGAAGAAGAATTCCAGCTAACAGGAAAATAGGGAGGGGTTTTCTTCAGTAAAAATACCAGTGCCAGCCAATCCCTTACCTCTTTGATCTCATCTTCCATTGTTCTCTCTGCTTTCTCTGCTTCAGCCACACTAGATTTTTACTGTCGTTGGAACACGCCAGGCACACTCCTGCCTCAGGGCCTTTGCATATGCTCTTGCTGCTGCCTGGAAACTTTCCCCCAGATACTTCCATGGCTCTCTTCCTTTCCTCTCATGCCTTTCCGCAAATGCCGTCTTCTGAGTGAGACCTTCCCTAGTTACCTGTTCTAGCAACAACTGCATTATGAACTCCACCCCCACTTAACATGCACACATACACATTCCCATTCCCCTTCCAGCTGAGTTTTCTGGTTAGCACACTCCACCTTATAATCTCCTATGCATATTACTGACTTACCTTGTTTTTGATTGTCTCCCTTAGCTGAGGGTAAGCTCCATGCAGGCAAGGAGTTTTGTCTGTTTGATTCCTCTCTGTATTCCAGCACCTAGAATAATCAGTAACCAGTACTCAATAACAACATGTTGAACCAGGCACGGTGGCCCACGCCTGTAATCCCAGCACTTTGGGAGGCCAAGGCGGGCGGTTCACCTGAGGTCAGGAGTTGGAGACCAGCCTGGTCAACATGGTAAAACACTGTCTCTACTAAAAATACAAAAATTAGTCAGGTGCACACCTGTAATCTCAACTGTCTGGGAGGTTGAGGCAGGAGAATTGCTTGAACTCAGGAGGTGGAGGTTGCAGTGAGCTGGGCTCATGCCACTACACTCCAGTCTGGGAGAAAAGAGTGACTCTGTCTTGAAAAAAAAACCTATGTTGAATGCACAAATGAATGAATTCATTAATCTTAGCTCTGCCATTTAGTAACCAGGCAGGCTTTAGAAAGTTAACTTCCTTTCTAAGCCTCATTTCTGCAATTGTAAAGTTAGAATGAGAATTCCATGTTCTCCTTGTGAGTTGTGCATTTTCAACAGGATTACAAAAGGATGCACCTGGTACAGTACTCACATGGACTCGGTAAGAATTGGTTTAGTGATTTACATTGTGGGTTCAACGAAAGAATTACCAATAATTGTAGCAAGCATTTGTAGAGTATGTCTGTGAGCCAGGCACTGCTCTAAGCTTGTATGTTTATTAACCCGTTTAAGCTTTACAACATCCTGAAATGTATGTGCTATTATCATCATCATCCTCACTTCAAAAATTAAATGGCAGGGGCAAGTTTCTCAAGGCCACATGACTAATAAATCATAAACCCTGGATTTGAACTCAGGTCTCTCTGTCTCCAAAATCCATGTCTCACCCACTTCAGCATACTGCTTCCACGTAGTAAGAAGACATAATTTATGTAACAGAGGCACAGGAAATTCCATTTAAGTCATGAAACCTCCTATTTACAAATTTCAAATGTGATGATAATTCAATTTCTAAATCAATTGAAACATTTAGATGGAGACCAAATTGTGTTTAACTCCAAGCCACGAAATATCTTTGGCCATGAAATGCTACCATCAAGGAGATATTTGTAAACTGTGTTTTATTTAGACACACTCTGTATAAACGTATATAAGACAGTTTTAAATAGACAGCAGTGTCATTTAGTTCCCAAAGCTGAGTGGAAATAAAAACCAGAGCCATGTAGACACACCCTAAACCTAGCACCTGCTTTTGAGGCTGCTTCAAATATTATCATCCTGTTTTTTCTTGTGAATTGGCTTCGATCACTTGTGATTCCTGTGCATCTAGCATGTCTCATAACCGGCAGTCATTCATAGTCTATTTTAAGTGTGAGCATTAAAATGCTAGGTTTCGTTCATGAGCAAAAACTCAGTAAGGCTGTATTCTCTGTCCTCGGAGCTGGCTCTCCAAGTCACTGCACACTCAACAGGGAGGTGCATACACACAAACTTTCCAAATCGCCTTTAAAAGTTTTCACTTCCCTTTTTTCTTTTTTTGGTTTCTATTGCCTTCCCAGTAATGGCTAAGACATTGCCAGTTTGTCTTGCTTCTTGTGATTTCTCCAGAAGGCTTTATGGCTCAGGAGATAAATTAGGACCAGGTGTTAATATCCCACTGATTTTAATCTGGCTTTTATTTTTTCTTGCAAGGACAGACATCTCTTCAAGCCAACTCAGGACAAAGGGGTTTAACATATTGCATTACATTACATTATTTTTAAATGATAAATCTAAGAGCAGGAGCCATATCAGATCCTGGCCTCAAGGAATCCAGAACTCAAAGGTGCTTCCAGATTCAAGGAAGCTCCCAAGTCTTTCACAGTAGGAGTTCATGGCTGTTTGATTTCTACGGTTAAGCAACAAATGCCGTGTCTTCTTCTGCTCCTAGTACTAACTAATGGTTATTTGTTTGTTTCAAGGTTCGGGCACTAAGAGAGAATCTGATTGGTCCAGTCCATCTTTCTAAGTAGTCCGTAACTCCCTCTTCAGCATATGGGTTGTCTGCCATTGGCTCAGGTGCACCAGCCAGGGCTAGTCATCTATGGATAGAGGAAGTGGGGCACTGGGTACTGAGTGTGGCTTCCTGGGTCTGTCCCTTCAGCAGAAAGTGTGGGCAGGATGGGTCCCCTCAGAAGAGGCTGTAAGTGGGTTGGCACAGTATTGACCTTTCCACAATACCATTGTGCAAGACACTGATGTCAGATAGCCAGGACATATAGTAATCTATCAAGGTAAGATGATATTATATTGACGAGGATACAAATGCAACACAGAAAAACATCTACAAAGCCACATGCGTGTATCTTTGCAATTAGCATGCTTTTTAAAACAGGAAACAAATAGCATTATTTCTTTGTGATATGTTTTATCTAAAAGTATTTATTCTTTTGCCCAAGTTTAGCTGTCAAAGCTCCACGGCTTTCTCAGGCAGGGCCTCCCAGTTTTGGTGAACACACTTCACTCAGCACAATTCCAACCCGTGCCATTCATAGAGATTACAGTGGGATGACTAAACTGAAGCCACATTCACCTTTGCAGTTGCCAGCTGGTTATTGAGGTTTTGTTGTGATTGAACTAGTCAAAACCTATTGATTTGTTATTACCGTTGACTCAGTGTCTACAATGCTGTGGGCTACAGCTTTAAATATAGGCAGAATTAATACCCATATGACTTTAGAGGTCTCCTGTGTCAAATGTATTATGCACATGGTGCTGGTGATCTCTCCTTTAAGGACTGGCCCCTTCCAGCCAGTGTCGCTGTGGAACAAAGGATCTATGATGGGATATTTTGATGGAGGCAGGAATGTTAAGGAGCGTGAGTTGAAATCCAGGTCTGGATGCCTTGCTGCAATGTGTGTGAAGTTGTGGTGGGAGCAGGGGAGAGGAGCTGCTGATATAAAGGCAGAAAGCATGGCAAACTTGGTCTGCCTGACAGTTCTGGTGAATGAAAACACCTGGACAAAGACCAAATACTTGGATTCAGGGCAATCGTCTTAAGAAAATTCACTACTGATGGTGACGTCAGTGATCTGCATTTGTATGAACTGTAGGCTCTATTTTTTGAGTTCTCAGCAGAAACCAGTCTCTCTTGTTACCTGGAGTACACAGCCTTCTAGGTGTGTTTTTCTTGTGCCCCACATCACTTTCTGTCTTTATTTTTAAAATATCGACCTGATTTTTCTTCACCCTTGGATGAAAATTTCTTTAAAGACAAGATCAATGTCTGCTTCATCCTGGTGTTCCTACCATGGCTTGGAACGTGCCAAGCATTTAATAAATATTTGTTGGATAAATGAGAGTAAGAACCTAATTGCCTTTGGAGTCACCAAATTGACCATGATTCAAATTGTGCTCTCTGCTCAGTGACAGTATTTGGCATAGGGGAATGTCTGAGATGACATCATTGCCAATCGAAGCTAATTTCAGGTCAAGTTTAACTTTGCAAATATCTCTAATGTAGTTGCTGTGAAAACACCATCAATACATCTTGTAATTTGTGAAAGGGTGTACAGTCTCCCTGGTTTATCAGAACAAAGATGAAATTCCTAGGGACAGATCGGGAAAGTTCTTTGAGTGAAGAGAAAGAGAAGGAGGAAGATATAAAAGAGGAGGAAGAGGAGTAGAAGATGAGGATAGTAGCTGGCATTTATTGACAGTTCGTTACGTGCCAGGCCTTGTCATAAGCATTTTGTATGTATTAACTCGTTTAATACTCACCAAAGCCCTCTGGAGAAGGTACTATCATCCCATTTTGCAGATGAGTCCAGTGCAAAATAGGGCAGGTTGCCTTTGGGTCCACACAATCTGTTTTGCAGGACTTCTGGGATGTTCCTCTCTCCCTCTCTTTCCGTTCCTTGTTCTCCTAAGGAAGCCTTTGGTAGTCAAAGTGATCATTTTTTTGTGATTTCATCTTAGAGGGCCATGCTGGCTCTTTACTGGTCTCTTGGGGGTAAGCCTAGATCTTCAATATTTTTCAAAATAGAGTGTCTGTAAAATGGAGAAATCTATTTCTTGCTGATATTTACTGCTCTGAGAGCATAACACTGAAGCAGTATTTTTTTCAAAACAAAATCCTCCTTCGCAGGTTTGAGAATGGGAAGAGATGAAGGGAGAGGAGGGGTCAGACAGCCCCGACCTGCCACGGCTGTCTGAGTAATCACTCTGAGAGTCACTGTGTCTGTTTGGGCAGACCCATTCTTCCAGTCTCACCAGATGAAGGCATTCATTGCCTTGAATCTGCTCTGACTTTCAAAGACACTACTCTAAAAGCTTCAATATTACTTGGCTAAACAATTTCCACTTCCCAGGAAGGTCTCCTTAGTTCCCATCTGTTTTGATTGTTGACATTTTGGTTTGGCAATAGGAAAAACCTCCTCATCAGAAGCTGGATCCCATCCCTAAGGCAGAGAAACTAAGTCAATGGCAGAAAGGTTGGATTCGTTCCTAACAGACTAAAAAAAAAAGTTACCCTTCCAGGAATTTAGGTATCCTGTGTCCAAACTTCACAGGCAGGAGCAGAGATTACATAATTCTTCAGATATTTATTTATTTATTTATTTATTTTGAGACAGAGTTTCGCTCTTGTTACCCAGGCTGGAGTGCAATGGCGCAATCTCGGCTCACCGCAACCTCCGCCTCCTGGGCTCAGGCAATTCTCCTGCCTCAGCCTCCTAAGTAGCTGGGATTACAGGCACGCGCCACCACGCCCAGCTAGTTTTTTTTGTATTTTTAGTAGAGATGGGGTTTCACCATGTTGACCAAGATGGTCTCGATCTCTCGACCTCGTGATCCACCCGCCTCGGCCTCCCAAAGTGCTGGGATTACAGGCTTGAGCCACCGCGCCCGGCCCAGATATTTTTAATATACTTGACCAAAGTGGAGAATTGAGATGGTATCCAGGGTTCTGGTTTGGCAACACAAATACATGACATAAGCCAGGGTTCTCCAGAGGGACATAACCAATAGGAGATATATATATATATATATATATATATATATATATATATATATATATATATATATGTATGT